TACAAAATATCTTAAGCCTTTGACACAAGAAATTCTGCTTATAGAAGGAAAAAGTAGTTCTCTCTTACTCTGTGAAAGAAGGATCTTTTACTTCAATAATGTCAATGCAAGAAAGAAAAATAAACCAGCCACATTACTGAATTAAAATTACATGTTTCCTCTGATCCTATATTGAAATTCAAGGTTATAAACATAGTATAAAAAAATGGAGATTTTTTTTTTTTCTTTTTCTAAAACTAAGCAATAAATTCTTTGTGTCCACCATAACCCAGCTGCAGGAGGAGTCCTGGCTGCCCTCCACACCCCTATTTCACCTCCTCAGCTCAGGGGGATGAGCCTGGGTATCAGGATAAAATAAAAAATCCTAAAAATAAATAAAAAATAAAAAATAAAATAAAAAATAATAAAATTGTGGAGTTTGCACTGTCCAGTCAGTCTGGTAGGACCAAATGTGTGGTGGGATTGTGGCAGAGGAGACGCTTGTTCACTGAAATAAAAATCAATCAACACGAGCAAGGGCTGCAAGAGGAATAAATTAGGTGGTATATCTTATTATTGCATAAGATTTATTATTTAATAATAATTTTTATAATTTTTATTAATTAATTAATTAACTATATTTGTATTTTATTTATAATTATTTATTATTGCATAAGAATTAACCCATGTTGGTAACAATTAACTGGATTAAAAGCTGCTTTGGTGGGGAGGCTCAGTTTATTTATATCACCCACCAATTTATGGTGACTCCCAAGTGCTAAAAAACAGAACTCATAAAATTAATAAATAAAGAATAATTATAAATAATATTATTAAATATTATTATTTAATATTATGAAATAATAATAAATTAATAATAAAATAGTGCTTTCAAAAGTCAGGATTTGGGGAATAAAATTCTGCAATTCCTATTCCAAAGCAAGCCCCAGAACAGACACCTGAACTGTGGCACAAAAACTGTGACTGGGATGAAAAACTCTGACTTTCCAGAGGAATCTGAGATTCCCCCAGTGCAACTCCCTTAGAACAGAAACCAGCACACCTGAAATGAGCACGTTTAAAATTCAGATCTCAATCTTTCTGTGCAATTTTTTTTTTTCTTTTCCTAGCAATTAAATAGGATAATTTAAAATTAAATTAAGTTTAATTTAAAAAATGTTTTAAAAAAAAAGCACGCTGCACAGAGCTAGGGACATGAGAAAGTTGCAGTGATGAAGAAGCTGGGAGTGTTTCTGCCATGTTAATTCACTGATGATTAAATTGGTTTAAATATTAGCTGTGGTTAGAGCTAATGTGCAAAATAGACTTTGTTTTTCAGAAATTACACAGAACTTTTCAATTTCATAGAATTCTGCACTGCCTCAGTTATGGGCTCCATTTGCAGTGACGATTAAATAGCTTTTTGCATCAAAAATGCAAATATATACACATTTTTGATGCAAAACACTCTTTGCTGGAACACTCTTACGTCTGCTCTGATACTGGCCTGTTTGTGCTCAACAAATTTTTCTCTTCCTGGAACTTCACAGTACATTATGGGCTCAAAACAGACCCACTTGGGGATAAAGAAAACATCCTTAAAGTTATGCAAAACATTCATAACAAAATGCAAATACTGTTTACAGTTTTCAGCACCTCAGTACAGCAGCTCACAATCTAAATTGCAGCCAGAAGAGTTTTTAATCAGCCTCTGCTGGGTGTTTGTGGTGGTGCCTTGAAGAAGGGCCCAGCTTTATGGGACCACAGAGATGGTCAATAATAATAATAATAATAATAATAATAATAATAATAATAATAATAATAATAATAATAATAATAATAATAAGAAGAAGAAGAAGAAGAAGAAGAAGAAGAAGAAGAAGAAGAATATGAATAACATAAATAATAAATAATAAATAATTCTGCCATCTGCAGAATGAGATTCATTCCTTCACTCCTCACAAGGAGTTTTTGGGGAAGGACATTCAGCCAGGCAGGAGCTGCCTCCTCTTGGGGAGACACAACCAGCAGTCAGCAGATTGGATTTTAATTCCAGCACTGTTTGAAATGAATTGGGGCCAAAATAATGATTCCCATCACTGGCTGCTGGGCAGCTCCAGATTGATGTATTTACATTTTGCCTCCTGAGAAACACAAAGCTCTGCTTCTCCAGCCCTGCAGCAGGGGTGGGTGAGCAGAGCAGCACCTCTCACCCCTCCACACGTTCACCCTGCACAGGGAACCAGTCCTGGTGTTCAGGACTCAATATTCCAATTCCTGCATCCATAAAGCAATGGCTCTGCTGTCAGCCCTTCCCCTGGGCCATGCTGCCTCCTCAAGAGCTGTCCATAAATGTGTTTGTAACCATCTCACACTCCCAAAATGACTCTGGAGGGCGGGGAAGGAAGGGACACATTGCACAAGAGCATCAGCTCGTGAGAGGGAAGCACAGGAGGGTGCAAGGATGAGAATCCAGCTGAGGAAAACCTCGCTGAGGCTGCTCAGCTCATTTCCAAGGAGCAGAGGGAAGTGAAGGATGCTTTAACAGCACATTCCTTGGGTGGATCCTGCCCGGAGGAGTGAAGTGAGTGCATGAAAACCGGGAGAATCTCCTCTCTCTGCCTCTGTTTGCTGAATTTTGTGTCTTTAGAAAATTCTCCCACCCCTTCTGTTGGACATTCCTTGCTTCTCCATCTGGAAAATGCAGATGTTCACTGAGAACTTCAATTTTCTGCCCTGCAAAGGACAGCTCCTGAGAGGGTGTGGAGAGACACAAAGCAACTGAAAGAACAAAACACACAGGGGAGGGAAAATTTGGTGAAAAAACCCCAAGGTCCAACAGAAACCTTTTGGTTTTAATCAGCCATCAGACTGTACCTGGTCCTTCACACCTGCTCCTTTCTAGACTCAGGCACCTGCAACTGATCCTCCAAGGAAGAAATCTGATGGAAATCAAAATGAAAGAAAATGATGACTGTGTTGGAACTGGATTGTAACAGAAATTGCAGGCTCTGCCCTCATTAGGAGCAAACTGGATATTAATGTAGGAAAAGCAGCACACTTTGCATGGAAAACATCTCCATGATCAAAGATCTGTTTTATATAATTTGCTTCCTTGATTATACAAGGAACTACATGTAAAAATATAGTTTTGCTTTACAGAAGAATTTACATTAAAGGCTTCCCCTGCTCATCTCCTTCCGTTCCCACCTACCCTGATCAATGCTCCCCTCCTCACTGCAAGTGTTCATCACTGGCTCAAACTGAAAGCCAAAATAGGGGAAATCTGTGAGCAAAAACCTGGGTAGTGAATAATCCTAGCAGTTTGCAACACCTAAAATTAAACCTGGCATCACTTTTCTATCAGATATCTTAATAACATGCATAAATAGGCTTTACTGGAAGACCAACGTTTTCTAACAGCCCAACCAGAACAAGACATCAGAGCTGGCATTCAACAGATGGAAACACCTGGCACTGCCACCCCTGGACAAAAACACCTGGAATTGTCACCCCTGGACAAACAACACCTGGCACTGCCACCCCTGGACAAAAACACCTGGAATTGTCACCCCTGGACAAACACCTGGAATTGTCACCCCTGGACAAAAACACCTGGAATTGTCACCCCTGGACAAACACCTGGCACTGCCACCCCTGGACAAACACCTGGAATTGTCACCCCTGGACAAAAACACCTGGAATTGTCACCTCTGGACAAACACCTGGAATTGTCACCCCTGGACAAACACCTGGCACTGCCACCCCTGGACAAAATGATGATGATGGACAAAATGATGAGAGCTCAGACTGACAGCTGATTATCACCATCCCCTTCCTCCTTTTGTTGATCCTTCACCACTCAGAAGTCAGATTCTTGTCTCCCACCCTCCCCAAGTGGAGAGAGCTCCTTTCTACCCCTGTGTGCTTTAAATACCCCATCATCAGTGGGACTGCCATAATGAAGCAAAAATGAAGTTATGCTGTTGGGAATGACTGCAGGTTCCTCACTGCTGTGCAAACATAAAGGGGATGAGTCAAAAGACACTTCCAGTGTCTCAGTAAATCCACAGGAACTTGGGGATGGTTGGAAATGTTTTCTCCCAAACAGAATCCACGCCCAGTTGTGTGAAAAAGAATTTCTGAGATAATTTTTAACCACCTGGTACCACAATTAAGTGTACTTTAAAGTTTCACATGAGTATTAAAAGGCAGGGAATCAGCTACTTCCAGGTAATTATGAGATGAAAACACGAATGTCATAAACCAACAAATTCTCCATCAGCATGCAAAGGGTGCTAAAGAAAGCAAGGACAATTTTAATAAACCCATACAAGTGATCATTTAAAAAAACCCACAATTCATAATGTTTCAAGAATCAAAGCTTATACAAAATTTAATATTTATGTGGGCACTCACAGAAAGTTTGGGGGAATTATACATATATATATGTACATATTTATGTGTATATATATATATATCTATATCTCCTTTGACCATCCCTGGGCACATCTTTTCCCCCTATAAAAAGTGATTTCAGGAGAGTTGTATTGACATTGCTGCTCAGACTCATTAGGGCTCTGTCCAAGTTGAATTTTGAGTAAAATTCTGTGCTACCTCTCGATGCTGTTGTGCAATTCTGGTGACATCATTGACAGTTTTGAAGGGAAGAGTCTGTCAAGTTTCTGTTCTGATCAGACCATTTTGGGAATGAATTAAATAATTTGGAAAACATCAGAAATAGCTGTCTGACTATATGTCTGCTTAAAAATTCTATACTAAAATCCAGCCTTTTAAAATAAATATGGACCCATGGGATTCGTTCATTGTTTCCCTTTTATTGTTACTTTAATAAAAATTAAATGGTATCACCATGATTTAATGTTAGGGGTTTTTTTTTTAAATTATATACTTTTTTGGATTATTTGGTTTTTAAAGTCCTCCTTCATTGGAAAAGGCACCTTGTTCCCCAAATTCAAGTCAAACAGAACTGACACCTCAGAGAAAAAAAAAGACAGAAATCCATAAAAAGACAGTAAGCTAAAATGGAATGTAATTTCAGCGTGACAGTTTTATACAGCAAGCCCAGGCTTCGAGGTGATGGTACTCAACAGGAAATAATCATGATAATCAAGTAAAACATTGGTGCATCTACCAGAATCGTGGTATGTATATCTTTATTACAGTTTTCAGAATACATGGATTAACAATGGCCAGGCTGTGATTTCATCAAATTCCTATTTTAAACATTACATACAAACACAGAGCTGTTTAAAAAATAGAAATGCATGAGTTTTGTCACCTTTTTTTTTTTTTTCTTTTAATCTTTTTTTTTTTTTCTTTTTTTTTGTTTTTTTTTTTTGGCATCAGGAGTCCTATGACTTCCAAAAGGGAAATCAAATGGTGCATGGTAGCAGACTGAACTGTAAAAGGTTATTTGTTCACATTCTGTGGCATATGTATCACCTCAAACAGTGCTAAAAGCACCCCAAGAACAAACCCTTCTCCTTCCCCAGTGACATCAGGGGGTGCTTGCAGGATGCACAGGCTCACACAGCTCCCTCCCTGGAGCACAAAAGCAGCACTATGACACCTGGAGACACCTGAAGCTGAGGCATTTGGCTGCTTTCATTTCTTTCTTTTTTTTTTTCTTGAATTCTTTTTTATTTTTTATTTACATTTCGTGTGCATGCGTGGGCGCGCGCGGAGACGCCGCGGAAGAAGAGGTTTCTCACGATACTTATTTAAAAAAAAATGAGTTTAAACTTGCAAATACAGTATGGCACATCAGAGGTTGGGCTGGACACTGCCCAGCACTTGTCCTGCCCCACCTTGCAGCACTTGGAAGGCAAACAGCAAAGCAGAGCTCAGCCAAGCCTTTGCTGAATGGAAAAGAAGCAATTTACACACAGAGGGAAGTTTGCTCCCAACAGAAATATCACCAGCTTGAAATCCTGCCCAGCCAGACCCTTCTGAGGCTGGGGAGGACCAAAAAGTCACCCCAAAGTCAGGCTTTGCCCGAGGGGTGAGAACGCTGCAAAGTTTCCTTAACAAAAGCTATAGGAGGATTTCCAGAGCCAAACCCAAAACTCAGCCAGATTCTCAGAGTTTGGTGTGTTGTGGGATGAATTTAAAGTAGGTTACTAATGGATTGTGGTTTGGATAGAAACCGTGGAAATATTGTGTTTTTTACAGCATTTGTCTGAGGTAGTACATATACCACACACAAAAATGCAAAAATATACAGATATTCATGATCATTTGCATATTACAGAAGGGAACTACGGGAACGCTCTTGAATCCCAGTTCTCAAGAAGAACAGATCATTTTGAGCTCACGTTTCTCACACTGACCACAGCCAGCTAAAACCACAACAAAAGGCAAAACTCCTGGGAAGGTCCCTGGAGCTGTTTGCCAGCGCCCTTGGAGGCACCGTTTTGGTTTTAGCCAAATAATTTGATTAACATCAGCGGAGTGCTGGGCCAGGATCCTGCTGCATCACAGACAAACACACGTGACAGCCCGTGCTGCACTGCTTTTCTCAATAAACTGCATAAAACTGGAGCAAAAGGAGCCCGCAGCCTTCCCATTTCTGCTCTGTCCAGCCACAGATATGTATATTTGTACATGATCAAAAACCTTTCATTCCCATGACATTTGGAGGTTGAGTTCGATTCATCTCAAAGGTAAAATTATCTTCCTTTTAAATAAACTAAGAAATGTAAACAGTGTAACATCATTTTTTTTTTTTTTTAAAAAAAAAAAAAAACCCAAAACAAACCAAAACTCTCTCAGCACTTGTAACTGGTAAAAATGTGAATGCAAACAGATGTGCTGGTAATATTGTTAACGTCATGTCTCAGAGGACAGAGAGTGAAACATAATTAGCAAGAAATTTATGTATGAACCCTCCAGTGATTTTCTTTCTGGGATTACTTTGAATACAAATATAATTTAACTGATATATTTCATTTTTTTATTTTTTTTTTAAATTAGAAAATAAGGCAAGTGCATTTCTGAAAAAGGTGCTACTCTTCTACACTTCTAGATAGACATGTGACACCTCTGAAAATTAGATCAATAATAAAAACATTAAAAATATCTGCAATTTAATATAGACTGAAAAACTATCAAAAGACAAAGTGACCAGCATCAATTTCAGAAAATATTTTAGACTTCATAAATACGAGCACCCTATATTTACATAAATTATCTTCTAAACTAGTTTTCCTTTGAAAGACACTTTTGTTCTAACAGATATGTCCATTAAATTATATAAATGTTTCAAATATGAAAAAAATAGTAGTAAAATAGAAGCATCAGATGATGTTGTTATTTTGGATTTGCCTTTTTTTTTTCCTAAGATTTGGTTCTTGAAAATCTGTAGCCAGCTTTCACAGAGCTTTCCCCAAAAAAATTATAACCCAGGGAAATGAAAAACTTGTGCACTGATAATTACTGCTATCCTATAAAGATTCTGTGGAGAGCTTTTGAGTTTTCACACATAAAGATTATACCAATACTTGTAAATCCCAGCAAAATGCTCATTTCAAAATCTGAATTCTAAGACACTATTGATTTATATAGACATTATGAACCTAATCCTTTAAACTGGCTTTGTACATTAAGCACATTTTTGTAACTGTAAATTTAATAGTTCTACTTAAAGAATTCAGTGCAAGGCTGATGTTGACCTTGCACAAACAGGATAGAATTCTTTTTAGCTCTTACTGATAAACAAGGAGACAAAATCCTCTTGCATGCTTTTTTTTTATCTTTTTTTTTTTTTATCTTTTTTTTTCCTGAAGTACCATACAACTCTTCAGTTTGTTACTAAAACTCCCAAACATTTTAGAGAGAATATTTAGTTGACAGCAAGCATTTCACTAGGCTTCAGTGGTATTCCTATGTTTAGAGCTATGGGCAAACCCCCTGGATTCTTTTTAGACAAGTTTTAAAATAAAACCAAAAATTAAAATTCAACACTAGATTGAATTAGACAATAGATTGAAAAGGAGCTGTATCTTCTCTTACAATATGCAGTTTACAATTGTGAGAATTTATCCCAAACTAGTCTGACAGTTTTAAGAGGATCTCACCAGAGAAGCAAAAAGAATCTACTGTACAAAGATGCTTGGCTCAAGCAGTAGTGCAAAGATCCACTGCCCCAAAGTCCCTCCAGAGCAAGCAGTTTGTGCACAGAAACCATGGGACACCTCACCTTCCAAACAGCTTTTACAGACACTAAAAAAAACCCCAAGTTCCCCATAACACCAGGCAGTAAAAGCATCCATAATAATTTCATCAATCAGTGATAAGCATCAATAATGTGAGAACAAGTGCCAGCTACCACAGAGCATCCTGATTCTTTAAAAACATCATAGCTCAGCAACTTCTGCTGAATTCCACTGGAATTCCACTTCAAATCCTCCATCCCATCCAGGCAAGCAAGGGCCCTTTGGGGCCAGGATGGGGCTGGACACTCCCCTGGGGACAAAGGGGACAGTGGCTCCCCAGGGAGTGCAGAACAAACAGGGACAGCTGCAGTGCAAGGGCCTGGACACAAAACTGGGAGGAACTTCCCAAAAATCAGCCTTGGTCACTGCCAGGCAGTGCTCCAGGTAGGAAATGTGCTGCTAGCTGCTAAACTCTCAGCACTAAAACCCACCAGTGGAGACCCCGCTGCGTGTTTTACCTGAGAAACAGAGGGAGAAACTCAGAGGCAGCTCTGAAACATTTCGTGGTGCAGCTTGTCTCTAAAAACCTACACACAGCTATGTTAGCATCATCAAAATAGCACAATCATACTTCCCCCAAATATCTTTATAAAGAATATATAAGTGCACAATTAGAAAAATCCCTCCTTAGATACAATTAAAAACACATTCTGCCCTTGACATCATTTTGGAAAAATCCTATGCTCTGTTTCATTTAATTTTTTAATTTTTTTTTTTTTTTATTATTATTTTCAGCAGTGATAAGTAACTACACATCATCATATCACCATGTGGATATGTGGTGTATCCTACTGGCAGCTCAAACAGCTGAATCCACCAGGCTTTACACCGAGATAAGGTTTTTCAGCAACCTGACTGGGGCTATGTGTTGCTTTTTTATGGTTACAAAAAAGATTCTGATAATGTAGACCAGCTCATCTCTGAATTTATTAACGTACAATTTTATTATTTTTCCTTTCATGTTCAAATCAGAACTGCAAATGGAATCCACAGCTGTACTCTTTCAACAAAACTGTATTTTCTTACCCATATAAAACATAACCTAGAAATCCCCAACTCCTTTCATGTGAGTTGCCAGCTTAAACAAAAAGGGTGGGAAAAAAAAAAAAGAAAAGAAAGAACATAAGAAAATAAGATATATACCCTACTGTTTAACACTGTTTACAGATCTTGGTAGTTGGGGTAATAAGGTACAGTATGTGGATCTTTTTTTAGCAACAGCTTCAAAATTACATATTTTTACACCATCTCATTTAATCAATACCAGTATTCCTTTTTGATCATTGCCAATTTGGATGATAAACTCTTCCCAAAGCACATCCATTTCATTGTAAATAAAACAATTCATTAATTCTTTGGCATCAGAAGAATCATACAGCTGCAATTGCTCCGTTGTGCCGAGAACGAGACCTTTCCAAAGTTACTCGTTTGTTATCTGCAACAAAAAGAGAGGAAAAAAAAAACAAATCACCACAAGATTTGAAACACGGATAATGCAATGTCAAGAGGTTTTCAAACAGCCCTGAAAATCATTCTGAATGATATGTAAATAAGTAAGTAGGAGACTGGATCAGAGAAGTTTCACACTGCAGCTGCCAGACTGAGTTCAAGAGTTCTGCAATCAGCAATAAATTACTTTCTTGATCAGAGAAGCTGGGTGATAAAAGCATTAGGAGAATCCTGAAACACAGTCCCCTTGGAAACAGCACATAATAAACAAAATTTGGGGTAAAAATCTTTCAAATTTTATACATTATTTATGCACAGAATCTCTAGAAAAATACATTTCAAGTGTCAAGAGAATGCACTGCCCAGTGCAGTGGTGGAAACCTGGCAGATGCTCCAAGTCTAAAAGCCCAAACACCTCTCACTATAATTTGGTACAGAGTTAAAAATAGAACAGTTAAATCAGCCACTTCCTAAGCATTTCCTGATTGTGCAGCGTGAACAACTTCTAGTATAAAATATTACACAGTAATTATTGCAATGAATAATAAATACGTCTCTATCCCAGGAAAACAATCACCAAGTACCAGGACACTCCTAAATGCCTTTACAATAAAATTTTAAAGTGATGAACACACACAAAGGGACGGAAGATTAACCCCCACTTATTGTTCTGCAGGTTTGCATCTTCCTTTTTGACAATGAGTTCCTGCCATGCAATTTTTTTCTGCTCTCTTTTTTATTGGTGGCTGCTTCCTTTTGATCTTTTTCCTCATTTTCCCTCATTTCTGTCCCTACACATTGCTGCAGCACCAGGATGTCCCACAAGAGGGCTGGGACTTTTCCACAGGGCTGGAATATCATGAAGAAGTTGATGGTTTTTTGGGGATACCTAAAAACAGAGCCCAGACAGAATTAAGGGAATAAAAAGCAATTTGATTTATTGAAGGGCCTTCAAGTACATTTAGGACAGAGGAAGCTCCCCAGGGGCTGCACCCAAAGTACAGAACACAGCTCATGGATTTTTACACTTTTATAAGTTTGGTCCATTTGCATATTGGGGGTAAATCTTCCAATTCCAGCTCCAGGGAACGAAGTCATTCACCCCAGGTTTGCTGCCCCCAGCTCCCTTTTGTTCCCATCTCTCAGGCCTGGGGCAGTGAGGTGTCCTTGGCTGCCAGGCCTGGAGAGGAATTGCTGTGTCTGCCCAAAGTGGGGAAGCAGCAGCTGGCCCTGGCTGTGGAGTTCAGAGTTCTGCACTGAGGAACTGCAGGGTTACACACATGGAAAATGGAGATGCTGGAACCCTACAGCATCAGAGTCACTTCAGAAGCAAAACACCATCCAGGGACACCGCAGACACTCAGGTTTTCCCAAAGATTGAGCTGTCCCTGCCCGGCCAACCCAGCCCAGCCCGTGTCCTGGCAGTGCCATGCTGAGGGCTGGGCACAGAGCTGGGCTCCACAGCTCCTCTGGGGGTGCAAACACGGTCTGAGCTGGGTTTGGCTGCAGTGGAGCAACAGGAGGATCCAGCAGTGGCTGTGAACACCTGCAGTGCCCAAGAGGCTGCAGCCAGGCTCTGTCCAGCCCTGTCCAGCTGGCTGCAGGCACAACACAGGACAGCAGAGAGCAGCAGGAAACTCCTCCAGACTCTGGAGGGCACTGGGCACTGCCCAGGAGGTGTCTCCATCCTCCATCCTCCATCCTCCATCCTCCATCCTCCATCTCCATCCTCCATCCTCCATCCTCCATCCTCCATCCTCCACCCTCCATCCTCCATCTCCATCCTCCATCCTCCATCCTCCATCCTCCATCCTCCATCCTCCATCCTCCATCCTCCATCCTCCATCTCCATCCTCCATCCTCCATCTCCATCTCCATCCTCCATCCTCCATCCTCCATCCTCCATCCTCCACCCTCCATCCTCCATCCTCCATCTCCATCCTCCATCCTCCATCTCCATCTCCATCCTCCATCCTCCATCCTCCATCCTCCATCCTCCATCCTCCATCCTCCATCTCCATCCTCCATCTCCATCCTCCATCCTCCATCCCAGCCCTGGACAAGCTCCAAGGACCAGGTGGGGTGGCCAAGGTGAGCTCCAGAGCTCCTCCAACCCCAGCCACTGCTCTAACCCAGAATTGGGCCAGACAACGAAATAAGACAAAGAAAGGCATCTCTGCCATCTGTTTTATGGACAGAGAGCAGAGGCTGCCCGTGGAGATTGCAAAAAATCAGCCTTGGCCTTCTCAGTGCATTGTCTCCAATGCTGTGGGGAATTAACGGCTCCTTTAGCAAGATTATTAGTTCTTTTTATAGTTCTGCCTTGCCTCCTTTTCCTAATGAATCTAGCCATGCATAAAGTATTCAAATTACCCTAAGTCAATCTGTTTTGCACGGGAATAAATCTCCACACTGGTTGCAGTGTCACTAAGTGCTGGCAATTAAAGCACAAAGGAAGGGAAGTCATCAACTCCAATGTGCTGCTGCTGCTCCAAGAGCAGAGAGGAGCGATACCTGCTCTCAGTGGCCTCCAAGTGCTTCAAACCCAACTCCACGAGTTAAAAACACATCAAGAGAGTCTAAAAACTGTTGATTTCTTTTTTTTCTATTTTATTTTTTTAAGATTTTCTCCATTCTTTTTTTTTTTTTTTTTTTCATCATGGTAGAGATAAACATTTTCTGCAAGTGACAGCTCAGTTCAGCTTCTCCTGTAATTGCAAAGCTGGGTTGGGACTTTAGGAAAACACAGAACCACAAAACAAAATTGTAAAAAAAAAATATATATATATATATATATATATATATAAAAAATTAAAAATATATATATAATTTCAGGTAATAACAAAGTACTTTCTTAATTAATACGTGTTAAGTTAAAGCAAAGGGTTTGATATGAGATTGAAACTGGATTGGGCTGGCATTTCAGTTAGCTGAGCAAGGATTTTGAAAAATCATTAAATTTCTATCAGTTGCAACATGAACATTCAGTTATCTCCAACATCTGTATTTACCTTTTTTATTTAACAGACCATATTGAATAAAACACAGAGCAAGTCTGGCTCATAAACATGACTGACTATTCTGGCATAAAATTAACTATAACATCAATGAATGGTGAAACTATTCCCTTTTATTATGGGGGCATGGAGAGGGAAAACAAGAGTAAGTTAAAAGGAGCTGAAATGAAATAAAAAATCATTGCCCAAAGGCTCAGGTACACCTTGAGAACACACAAACATTCCCAGAAAAGCTGATCACAGGTTCTGTGTGTACCAGCCAGCCCTCCCAGGTAACCCCACCTTCAGGAAGAGAGTTTTATTCCTCATTTTAATCTTAGAATTTTATTTCTCACTTTAAACTTAGAAGTCTATTTCTTTTAAAAGCGAGGTGCACCCACTCTGCTCCCCTTACAGACATTATCATCTATCTCAGGAGTGAACACAGCACCTTAAAAGTGGCCTCTCAATCTGCTGAAAGGATCTTTCTCACAGCAGTGAAAGGTAGAACGGTGAAGGATTAAAATGGGAAACAAAGCAGATTTTTATATCACAAAATAATCTTCATCGTTTAGCTAGCTGGATCAAATGAAAATGAAGTAAATATAAAATTAAATGCTGAGGAATTGGTACACATAACCCTGGAATGCAGTGGTGACCATGCAAAAAACCAGATGGATGTTGGTATAAAAACAATTCCTTGTCAAGTCTTCTTGCACTCAGCATAGTGCCAAGATGGGAATAAACCCTGCAAAATCTATTTTTCCTTTCCTTAATGCTCCTTCATTAACTGTGTTATTAAAAGAGAAGTCTCAATGGCTGCCACAGATTTATTAACTCAGTAGCTTGTTATCAACACAGAACTCGGTTACATGAGGAGAAAAATAAATGGTACTTTGCAGAACTGCACTACTAAGATTAAGTGACTTTTTCATTTCATTTTCTCCTTATCCACTCTTCCAGGTAGTAACTTTATGCTCTCCTAATTATAAACCCTATTTTTTATGAGCAATCAATGCTAGTAATAATATAGATGTTGTGCAGTCCAGTGGACTGGTCATGACACCCAGATATCTGATAATGGAACAGACAGAGTCTATAAAACCATACCTCAAAGGGACCTGACTGGAATTTGCATTACCCTGCAACCAGAAAAAAAAAGTTCTCTTCTATCATTATCTCTCAGCCCTGATATTAAAATTATAAATGTGTTACAAACTGCTTGTAACACCTTGGGCTTGGTACCTCACTTGGCTCCTTTTTCCCTTCCAAAATCTCCTCCTCAAGGTGAAAGAATTGACCTTTCCACGGCTGACAATAATAATAATAACAACAATAATAACAACAATAATAACAACAACAACAATAATAATAATAATAATAATAATAATAATAATAATAATAATAATAATAATAATAATAATAATAAAGCTGTTTAATGCTCAGAGAAAGGAGGTACTGGTTTGACTTGCCTTGAAAATGATCACAGCAAGAAGGTAGAACTCTCAGCAGTTAATAAAATATTTAAAATTTCATCTTTTTGAAATAGTTTTGACTATGCAAAAGAGACAGAAATGCGTGCTGTAAGGGAATTTGTATGGCCCGTGCCTTTGGGAATCAATGAAAGCCTTTACATCAAACATTTATTTCTTCATTCATGTAAAATCTTGTTCACTAGGAAATCCTACTGAAACACATCTTGTTTTCATGAGCAACCAAAGGAAAAATACTCATGCAGTCCCAAGCACTGCAGCAAGTCAAACAGGGAAAACAGAAAAGCAAGACAATTTCCTACAGGTACGGAATGGTTACGGAAAAAATGAGGGAACTGCTGATTAAAGGAGGTTAAAATGAATAAAGTGTCACAATGGATTCCAAGGATCACAAAAATCATCTGTAATAATGATTTAGTTGGCATTTACTCTGTAGGAAAAAGGTGAAAACCTGAATTTTTCTTTACAAGCACCACTTTTTTTTCTGATCAGGATGA